GTCAACATTCGTTCCACTTGGCTGATGTTTGATGTTATGAGAACGATATCGTCAGCAAAGCGAAGATGGTTTAATAGTCGACCGTTAATTTTCACTCCCAGGTCGTCCCATTCTAATGTTCGCATGACGTTTTGTAGGGTGGCAGTGAATAGTTTTGGCGAAATTGTATCACCTTGTCAAACTCCTCTTCTTACGTCAATGGTGATATTGTTGTAGAGTGGGGATATTTTGGTCGTGAAATCTTTATAAAGCTCACGAAGGATCATTATGTACCGAGTAGGCACGCCCTGATTACCCAGAGCCTCTGTAACCTCTTCTGTTTCCACTGAATCGAAGGCTTTCTTCAGATCGATGAAATTGAGACAGATTGGTTGCTTGTACTCTCGTGAAACTTCGATGAGTCTTGCAATCGTGTGGATGTGATCTATGGTACTAAATCCCTTTCGGAACTCTGCGTGTTCTAATGGCTGTCCTTCGTCCAGTGTTCTGTCAATCCTGCTCATGATGACTCGAATGAAGAGTTTATAGACAACGGACAGCAAGCGGACTGGGCGATAATTACTTATGTCGTGAAGGTCTCCCCTTCTAAACAACAAAACAGTCTTGCTATTTTTCCATTGAATAGGGATCTTGTATTCTGACAGGTGGAGAGCGATGAGCCGAGCCAGGGTATTGATGAGAACTGACGGCAGATTAAATCAAAAGATCGACTGTTTTTGAAACCCCGCAAAAAAACATTCAATATAATTCCAAAAAAGAATGATTTAAGCTCAAAAACGAGGTTGTTACGCCAGGGTCATACACCGGTGTTTCGGAGGTACGTCCTCCTCGTCAGTGACCCCCGCCCCACATTCAGCCCTGCATTGAAGCAAGGAGGGAGGCGTATGTGGTGATGGAACAGTGTACAATGACACTGGTCCATCACCACCCCTCAGTCGATGGATTTTTTGCTGTTAGATCAAAACTAAATCAAAAGATCGACTGTTTTTGAAAACAAAAATGTTTTTTATACGCCTCCCTCCTTGCTTCAATGCAGGGCTGAATGTGGGGCGGGGGTCACTGACGAGGAGGACGTACCTCCGAAACACCGGTGTATGACCCTGGCGTAACAACCTCGTTTTTGATCAAAAACAGTCGATCTTTTGATTTAGTTTTGATCTAACAGCAAAAAATCCATCGACTGAGGGGTGGTGATGGACCAGTGTCATTGTACACTGTTCCATCACCACATACGCCTCCCTCCTTGCTTCAATGCAGGGCTGAATGTGGGGCGGGGGTCACTGACGAGGAGGACGTACCTCCGAAACACCGGTGTATGACCCTGGCGTAACAACCTCGTTTTTGAGCTTAAATCATTCTTTTTTGGAATTATATTGACGGCAGATTCTTCAGGTGTTCTGGTCTAATCCTCTCTGGACCGGGTGTTCTTCTGTTCTTCACCGACGACATAGCATGTCGGATTTCGAAAGGGAGGACAGATGGAATGACATATTCGCCCTTTTTCAATTTATGTGACGGTAAGAGAAAAGATTAATGTTAGGATTAAGGGCTGTGATATTCTCGACAGACTTCATTGCCCCGTGGTACAGTTTGGATGTGGTCCATGCAACAGAATCCCTTACGGAATCCCGTTTGTTCAATCGGCTGAGCCTCGTCCAAAGTTCTTAATATGCGCAGAAGTGTAATCATCGTGAAGAGCTTATAGAGCACACTCAACAAGGAAATTGGACAATAAATACAAAGATCTCTTCGTCACCTTTTTATGGAGGGTGATTGTGAGCGGCGTCCTCCACTGGTACGGAATTATTTCCTTCTAAAGGTAGGATGTCATATGTGTAGCGTGTATCACATGTTTTATGGCCTCCAGCTTTTAGAAGGTCGGCTGTGATGTTGTCAAGTCTTGGGCCTGTAGCATTCCTCATGCTTTGTATCGCAACACGTACCTCAGAGGGCAAAATCCTGGATATAGCACATGTTCAGACGGCATTTCTTCAGACTAGGGTTGTTTTTTGTGTTGCTTCCAACAGTTTCTTCTGCCTCTACTGGTGACAGTCCTCTTGCAGAACTCTTCTACAGCTAGAGTTTAAAATCACTCGAGCTAGGTGTACCGCATTAAGATCGAATCTCAGTTTTCTCTTCTTTTCGAACAACTCCTTAGTTGTAGTGGAGATGCGGTCTGAGCTCCTTGTTGGAGTAATTGAAGCGGACTCACCACAACTTTCAAGTCCTTTGACGAGTAACTCGAAGTTTTCGGTCGCATTTTCCTTTATATGTCAGTCATGCTTGGGCAGGATTTCGTTCAGAATGCTTCGCGGTAAACTGCCTGACAACTTTTCCCTATCTATGATATGACTTCTTTTCCAGCGTACGACTGAATCAAATCTTCGCGCAGAGAAGGCGTTGACCGGTTCCATACCGAATGATGGGACTACGGATGTGTCAAGTAGTCTGTTTGTAAGTATATGATCGATCTCCTTATGTGTCGTGCCATTAGGTGACTCCCATGTTTAGCTGCGGTAATGTTTCTTCTGGAAAATTGAATTTCCATGGAAGAAACGTGCCGCAGACAGGAGCCTGCAAGACGGTTCTCCTTCTGATTTCTTTCTCCTGATTCAAACTTTCCAATTTTATCGCTCTCGTTTGCCCTCCCTATTCTAGCAATGAAGTCACCAACAATGAATTTGTAATATGACTTATTATTACGGATAACTTCCTTCAACTGATGAAAAAACGCATCCAATCCGTGTTCATCAGCTGAGTCGATCGTTGCGTAGCAGCTGATGATACTGAAGTTTTTGTTGCACTTTACCTGGAGTCGAAGGAGCCGTCAGTTTACTCTTTATTCCTACTTCTCTTCTCTGAATTTGAGCTTAACACCATTGCCGAATCAGTTGGTAGGAATCCGACCAAGAATCCGCCACCGAAAGCTAATTCCTTGAAAGTGATATCGTGAAGACCTGAAATAGCCCTTGCAAGGCAAAGTCAGGATTTCAAGGACATCAATCTGCACAACCAGACAGTGAGAGGTTAAGAAATCTCGGGATACACAAAACCTCACTCAACAAATAAATTTATATTTCCATTGAAGCACGTGATGATACAAACTCGCCTCAACCCGGTGTGGCCTGCCACGGCCGCCGCGAGTGCGGTCCTACACTTTGTACCAAAAGGGTATATATGGTCGTCAAAGAGTTAAGAAAGCAGTTTTGTGCAGCGAAATATAAGCGAGATAGAAAAAAAACACGTGGTTGTGGGGACCACAATTTTTTTTCAGATCTTACAGTACTATAGAAAGGTGTTTTGAAAAACCGATTGGGTAAGGCTTTAGCCAGAGATTCAAACATTCGAATGATTGTTAACATTTCTATGAAAATTTCCTGTCCACCGAATGAGATCGGCTCAAAAAATTTGCCACCGTCTAATCAAATTGTACTCAGTTCTTTTCGATTATCCGAGGACAAAATTCGACCCCATTCGCTGGACAAACATAAAAACTTTTCATGAGAGCCATAGTAAACATTCGAAGGCTCAAATCTCTGGCTAACGCTGTAAATGGCCTTTTTCTAAAAAGTCTTCATCATAATGTCTCACCTGAAGGGAAATTTGTGCATCACACACGCGTTTTTCTCGCAATGCAGAGCTGTAATTTTAGACTATCAGTAGTCATTCGATAACGTAAGATTCAAAGATTTGAGCTCGGAAATTGTTTTCTGGAAATACAGTTTTTCTGCATTGCAGCAGGGAAAATACGATAGATTCATTAAGCGAGCATGGGTATTTTGGTTCTTCTACAGGGTAAGGGATGGGGAGGGGCGGAGCAGTAGCAGATGCAGCGATTTGAACACGGCCATCGATGGATTGGTCCTTTGGTGAACCATAGGAAAATGCAATTTTTGTTATTCATTTAGAAATTGTTCCTCCGCTTCCAAAGAAACCCCAGATCAAACGTCTGACTGTAATACTAATGGATTTTCTCCACACATCTATTGCTTTAGCCCTTCCAGCGAAATAATACTTGATTCACGTGTGGGAAGTCCGGCAGTCTGCCGTGTTAGCTCGAGATTTAAACTTTCGAATGATTCTTAACACCCTTGCAAATTGTCAGCAAACGGGGTTGAATACTTATTTGACCACGTATTACCAAAATGAACCCTTTTCTACATGTGCAACCCATATCTTTAATTTACTTTTTTTCGTGCCACTCAGTCTGCGTAAGTGTATATCTCAGCACCACAACATTACTATTAAGCTGTAAATCAAAGAAACAATGATTAGCTGATCAAACATGATCATGCAAACTGCATGCGAAACCAGTCGTCGACAACTTTTGATAATTCTTGGATTATATCAGTTTGTGAGGAGTTGAGACCTACATAAAACTCTTGAGCAGACTTTTTTTGGGCACTAGCTACCATATATCTAGTGGAGGTCGTAGTGATGCGGATAGTTACATGGAAGGTTATTGTACCGCTGGCACTGAATACAATGTCGGAGGATTCGTGTTACTTGTGATTGTAGCTTAGGGATCCAAAATTTTTCCCTGACCATTGACTTAGTATGAGCTGTACCAGGATGGCCTTTATTGTGGCAGTCTCGGATTATTGCTTGAGCTAACCATGAATTCTGTACTATTAGTAAAGGGTTTTTGGTGTCTTCCATTAAGTCGCTTTGCCCTAAGCGACCATAACAACGAAGCAATCCCTCCTTGTCAGACATAATGTTCAAATGTGCCTTACGGGGTAACATGATAGTTTTTACTGTTGCTAATTGATGCTGCTTTACCAGTACTTTTGCAGTGATAGCTATCTCTTGGCCGGAAATGTGGAAATGCTTATATGTTACCGTTAGTAAGTGTAGAGAGAGGTTTATGTGGCGATTGGAAGCGTTCACCTTTTTGATTAGGATGCGAATGCATCGTAGGATCCATGCTATGATCTTTTAGTATTTGCCGGAGGAAATTTACTCAATTTCGTCTGTGTTATCTTTATTTGAGGGGTTCTGCGTAGTTGGTTGGTGGTTCAGTGGTAGAATTCTCGTTTGCCACGCGGGCGACCCGGGTTCGATTCCCGGCCGATGCACCAAGCGCAACGGACAAGAGAGCAAACTTCAAATCCTTTATATGGATTATACCAAACAATAGGACGGAACCAAACAATGGCGTGGTACCAAACAACCTATAATATACATACACTACAATTATGTTAATGTAATAACAATATACACATGATTGCGACATATCGTTAAGCGAACATATGCCTAAGTCAATATGAGTGATGTATTAATGGGATGTATCGTCATCCGACGATACTATGAATGTTATCGTAAGCGACAGTGTTATGGTAAGTGGTGTTATTGTAGCTGACGGTGTTATTGCAAGTGATGATGTTATTGTAAGTGATAATGTTATAGCAAGTGAAGATGTTATTGTAAGTGACAATGTTATTGTGAATGACGATGTTATTTAGCTGACGGAGCATGACTAAGCGGCGGAGCCCGTTTGGGGTTGCTATGTTGGCCCCGAAGTAGAAGCACCGGCGGCGAGGCGAGATCCAGTGGGTGAGTATATAGTGTTAGCAGTGGGGTCACTACTAAGTATATATGGGCAGAATCCCTGAACCGCGGTGGTGGGCCGAGCATAGCCTAAGTGAGTTCGCTCCGCCACGGAAGCGCTATGTTCCGCTCACAATTCTATTGAGTTCATCTGACAGTTGTATGAACGTAACCTTATGAAAGCAATTAGTTACACGATAACGAGATTGTGTGGAGAGAGCAAAGATGGACTAATGACGATTTGAGGTGAGGTGGGCTGGATGAAGTCAGACGACCGTTCGGATGATGCCCCGCGATCGGACTGACTGTTGAGCTGGATGCCGCCCTCGCCACTTGGACCATTTTCTGCCTAAGGTCCCCGAACCTCTGTGATACAACTTGCTCTCCGGAGTCATGGACCATCTGCGTTGCCTAAATTATCATGTAATTCTCGAAAATATGGCAAAACTCCTTGGGAGGTTTGCTATAAGGAGCTTCAATCTGACTCTCAGTTGATTTCTCCGTCTTCTTAATGGATTTGATAGGAGTGCTATATGCGAGAGACTAATGGGAACATGAAAACTTGGCAACAGAATATTCTGTTTCTGATTAACTAATTGCCAAATCTTTTTTCGTGAATGCTGTGTTTCCTTCTTATCTATTGATATCTGCTTTTAGAAAATTCCTTTCGATGATGCACATAAAATTCCGGTCTTTTGTCGATTACAACAATTTTTTTTTGGGAATGTCAGGATATTATGTCAAGCACCACAAATGAGAAGACAGGAGCTGAGTTCAACCGCGCTACTTGTGTAAATGATGCATTTGTTGGAATTTTGGCTTGAGTGATCTTTTCCACGTACCATATTACTTTTTAACATTCGTTATGCATTTTACCTCAATAACCAATTATCTTGTGCTTCGAAAAACTTATGAAGGTATTTGGTCATTAAACGATCTGCACGCAGGTATTACTCACGAATAAGTGCTAATTCGTTATTAAGTTACAAATGACGTGATGCAAGAACTAAAAAATTTGTCTCTTCTTGGGTCTACACTATTTGCTCAGATTCTAAGAAAGCGAAATGAAAGTTTTTGCAAACACGATGAGACTTTTGAACAATGCTGTGATGATTTCGCTGCTTGCTACACTCTCGACACTGTTGAGCTGTAGACCTGCAGTTAAGGTAGTGATCTCAAAATTTTTTAACACAGATATTTATAGTTTTGAGTGTTTATCATGAACTCAGAACAGATTATTGCATCTCAGAAATTGTCAGTATATAAGGGCTGTTTCAATCCGAAACATTTTATGGATAGATTTTGAATGCTAAACATGAAAATGTAATCGTACCTTGAAATAGATAAGAGATATTGTTTGAATTTAAAAGTATCCACTAAGCCATAAAAATTTGCTGCAGACTTCTCTGAAGTTCATCGTCAGCAAATTCACATCATTGCTTGTTCAAATAGTATACGCTGCAAGCTCCGCACTGACCTCTCAAGTTTCTGGTATTGCATCTGACAAAGCTGCAGCTCAGGGATTTATATAACGTTTTGAGATGCAAACAGTGGGCTTATAACTCACAAATTCAATTTTTTTTTTGCGAATTTGGAAAACGTTAGAGGTGAGCTTCAATTTTCTGGCAATTAATCAGTTTCCTAGTACTAATATCACTTCCATAACTTCATTTAATTCCTTTGAGAACACTTCCAATGAGCTACAGCAGCAAGAGAGAAAAATCACGAGCATATTGAGCCCACTTAGAATCAGATTCACATATGAACCAATGGGGTGCCAGAGAGCTCTCAAAGGTCCAATGAATATGATTACTATAAGTTGGTACTGAATATTAAACATCCATTCAGATTTATCAGCTGAAATGTATTAACCATATTATTGTATTAATATAAGGGTTGCGCTCATAATGATGAGAAGAAAACAAATATCATGAAGCAAGTGAAAAAATGATCCGGAATATGAGAAATGTTCTCATAGCGGTGCTAAAATCAAAACCGTCAAGGTAAGTGGTGGTTCCAAACAGGTTTCCTATATCCCATCCAGCAAACGATGTAATATTTGCCAGGTTATGGTTTAAGGGTTCAAAAGAATGAAAGGCAAACTTGTTTAACACTGTTCTGATGCCTTTTCTTTCATCACTTCTAATGTAAAGAAGGTGTCTTTCTAGGACTTACTTTTTTTGCACTTAGGATATGCCAGAGAATTGCTTTATTGTCGACAACACCGTGATGGCACTTTGTCCCTAAAGATGATAAAGTCGAAATGATGTGCACGTAGAACAGGAATTGTCACGGTATGGACAGCTTTCTTTCTATACAAACTCTCTCTAAAGAAAATGAATCCGTATAGACCCCGAACACCATGATGGCGAATTAGTCAAGAATGATGTGACATAGATTGCTTTTCTTCCATTATTTAGCAACATTTCGTTCGAGGGATGCGCGAAAAAAACTATTTGTAAGGTGCTTTCAAATGGCCAAGTTGCTGGATAAGCTTAATTGACCGATTATTCTGAGAAAACAATGTTTTGACCTTTTCAGAAGGCCTTTTTATAACATTTGCCAAGATAAAATGAGCAATCAAAGAGTATGTGACTGCTACTCAAAGCAGATAATATATCACCATATGACATGTAAAGCAACAAAATTTTTCTTGTCTGTATATTATGGAAAAGCCAAGAGAAACTAACCGCACTCTGTCAATATCCACTTTGATGGGAAACTTGAAACTTCTAAGTGATCAAGGAAGTCCCTGCTCAACGTCGCTTCAAATGCGTTCCTCACGCGCCCTCTATACCTTCCCATTGTCATATAATGATAAGCTCATCAAAGTATATGTTGTACTGATTCACGGCAAGACCTTATCCATCCATACAAATGTCTTTCCTGCGGTCACTCTGATACAATTTTACTCTGCTTCCTCATGTTAGTAAACTCTTACTGACTTCGCATTCCCCACCTCTCTATCTGAATCCTTTAGTGGAATTCTGTGGTTCTTGATTTGGCTATAGATTGACCGCTCCGCTTAAAAAGGTTATTTTATAGGTGTACTGGGTGTGAGATCAATGAGAACATTGAACCTAACAAATATGAGTTCTATTTCTTGAAATGGGTTTTTAAACATTTTTCAAGGAAGTTTGTACTTCAACACAGCCAATCGATATTGTTCTACCATTTTCTCACTGAAGTGTAGTTATAGATTCGCCATTTTTCGTCGGCGTACTTTCCCTCTTTGGGAAAAGTGAGATTTTATGCGGCAACATCAGTAATGAGAAGGCGTAAATTAATTTTATGCCACGCAATTTGAGGAATTGGAGCATTCATTCTAAGTTTACTGGTGTGGTCTACTCCAACCACTTACTATAACAATTAGCATGCATTTCATCTATTAACCGATTTTATATGTTTGAAATAGAAAGAAGAAATTGGCATTTACTTGAGTATACAACATTTGTTCAGATTTTGAGAAGAGAAACATGAAAGTTCTTACACGGCAAGTCTGCCAGGCGATCGCAGGATGATTTTTTTAGTGATCACAATTTCAACAGTATTAGGATGCGGTGTGATGCCAGCTGGGCAAGGTAATAAAGAACCATGATTGTAGAATTACGAATATTCAATTTTAGATATAGTTGCGGAACATTAATTAGAATAACTCTTCATATGAATATTATTTAACTTTTTCAATGGGACAATTTTGCATTTGAAGTAAGACACGATGGTTGTCTTATAGATCGACGAAGATCGTGTTCTGATCTTATTAGTCGTCATAAAAATCACAAGTTTTCATTGTAGCGAGTACTAGGACATTCACCCTCACCGGCTTCACTTTGCCCGTCTCTATTCCAGCTCACCCGATGTCCGCGCACGTGTGCCTGGTGTTGCACCTAGCGAAGTGGAAGCTAGGGCCTTTGTTAAGCGTCTTGTTATGCAAACAGTAAGCTTACAACTACTGGATTTCAAGCGATAAAACTTTTAGATGAAGTCTTCAAATCTGTGAAAAACTCTGTCTGCCAGGTCTTTGATGGTCTTGAAAGCCAAGCTCGTAGTGCACTTCTACCTGATGCTATTATTTCAAGAATTTTGAGTCAATCTACTGTTAAACTCACTTACACGCCAATGCTATGCCAGGCAGTTCGTAATAGTCCAGAGGAGATGGCTATCAGTGAGTGTTCAAGATCAAACATCTATTTGACGAACTCCGCACAACATTAGAACAGGCGATAATGAGCACAGCAGCGCTTTATTAATATCTTAAATTGATGGCATTTTTAGATATCAGTGAGAAATCTCTCAAAGTGAAATTAAGGCGATCATCGTGATGCCAAAATCGAAAATCAATGCAATTTTTGACAGGGTATTCTAATCTTTTTTCTGGGAAGGATATACTCAATGTGTTATATGTACTCAATGTGTTAGATGATTATTCTAAGCGGTTCAATGAATGAAAAAAATTTTGTGACTAGTACCCTTACTTCCTAGCTTTTTCTGATTTCTATTCCGATAAAAGGTGTCTTTCTAGCTCATA